AGCGCTCTCGCTACACTTCCCAGTCACATCAGCATCAATTATATATTTATATCAGAGCGTTAAAATAAATAAATAAATAAAAAAGCAAAAACGTGGCTCTCACTGCCACCTGACAGAAAGGAGCTCAGGAAAATCTATTTAAGTGAGGCGTGGAAGTGAAAAAAGCCGGGACCGTTTCCCCAGTGGCGGGGCACCGTCTGGGGCGTGCGGTTAACCTTCAAGGGGTAGACAATGATTGTCAATTAAAACCGCTGCCCCGGCATCGGATAGCCACACACACACACACACACACACACACACACCCACACAAACACACGCACACACAAAAAAAAAAGGAGACCAATGAGAGATATGCGATATCTCCGCGCCACCCCCATGTTATAATAACCTTTCTGAGAGTTCAAGTGTCACGCAGCAATAAGAACCTCTTTTTTTTTTTTTTTAAACATCCCACCGCGGGGAAAATGAAAAGGGAAAACAAGTAGCTGGAACACGGGGGGCTCCTGCAGGGGCTCTTGGAGGGGCCACAGCCATATAATGTAAAGAGGGGAGATTACTGAACCCGGATCAGGGTGGAACACTGGTAATCTGGCACAAGAGCACTTCAGAAAATAAAGAGGTTAATAGTCACTATATTTCTGGTAGTTTTTTTTTTTTTTTTTTTTAAAGATTAGCTGTAATGACCTGTAACTGAGCTCAGACAGTTCAAACACACATTTTCTTTTTCAGGGTTTCAGCTGGGACGGGCCGCTATGAGGGGAGCAGAAATACCACAATTTCACCACATTTGCACATTCAAGATCAGAACTTTCCAACAAGTTATAATCAGTTTTATTTCAAACAAAGTCGCTGCACTCACTACTACTGCTGCTCAAATAAAATGACAATAACTACTTACTGTATACAATAATGTTATTGATTGAATTTACTTATCACGATCTTCACTTTGGTACATATAACTATGCAAAAAATGTAGAATAAACACCTGCCAGAAACTTTTCTTTTTTTTTTAGGTGCTTAATGTGGACATTATTACATGTTTTTGCTGTTCTGCTCTTAACAAGATGAAGCAAATAAAACAGCAGAGATTCACAAAGAAATCAGCTGGAATCACTTCTCAGCTTGAGCAGGTTGGACTGCTGACTGAAAAGTCATTGAATCCCTGAACGCAGCTAAGTACTAACAGGTCAAGGTCATACCAGCACTCTTCAGTGTAGATGGTTTTGAAATTGGAAGGCTCAAGATTAACTGTGCTTAGAAAATTTGATGTTTTTGCTGCTCTCCACAGGGTAAAGCAAGTATAAGCAAATGATATCAGCTGGTTTATTACTTATGCTGTCTGCACATGTAGCCATCCAGCAGTCAACTCACATTTTAATGTGATTACTGGCCATGTTTTCATGATCAGAAATGTTTCAAGAAGCCAGATTTCTTATTTTTGTTAAAAAATAAAAAGGTAAAATGTTGAGGATTTGTTTGAGGCAGCTGGCAAGCAGTGCACAGCAACAGGCGTGAGAGTAGAAGGTAAAATGTTAAGAAATATCTGCTCTCTCCTGCTCTCTCTCTCTGTCATCTCACTGTGACAAAAATTTTTTGCTTCTTAAATGATGATTAGGTTTAAATTATTGACGCAGATGAACACACAGCAGAAAAAATACTGCTATGACTATTACAATTGTTTTCCATGGTCAGAAAGGCTTTAAAAGAGCCAAATGTTGTTGTGAGAGGAGAAATTTTATTTCATCCGACTGACCAGCAGTGTGCAGCAGCAGCAGGATGCTTCAGAGCAAGCTCCAATGGAACCAGCAAGTTCTCTGGCTCTGACTATACTGATTTATTTATTTATTTATTTATTTTATTTTTAACTTGGTGAACTTGGTTAACTTTTTAAAAGTTTTGGATTAGGTAAAACTTAAACCGCTTAAACAACCCAAAATACGCACGCACACACACATAAAGAATTCCAGCGAACAATACACTCTTTAAATGTGTTTAAACAGCAAGCGTAGGGAACAAGTTGGCTTGTTTGTGTCCACATCAAAACTGAAACAGCAGGCTGCAGTGGAGCTCTGTGATGCTATTCACATTCACACAGTGTGCATCAAAAAAAAAAAAAAAAGAGAGAGAGACCGGTGTTGTTTTAGCACAATAGGCCGGCAGAAGGAGGGGGATAAACTGCATGTGAAATAGTAAGAGCCATTGTATAGGAGTATTATTCACTTCATTGTTATCACTGTGCCACTGTATAAAAAAAGAGCAGTGACACTGTGTGTAATAGAGGGAATGGGGGGGGGAGTGAAAAGCTAAACTATCCCAGGCAGCAGGCTGTTGTTGTTGTAACCCGAGAGGCCTAAACCCGTGAACTCGGATACTTTTCCCTTTCTATTTTTTTTTTCTTTTTTTTTTTTATCTGACTGTAAGTTGGTGGAAATAGAGGGAACTTGTTTTCACCTCTGGGGTCAGTGGGGTGTGGGTGTTTTTTTTTTTTTTGGGGGGGGGGATGGTGGTGGGAGGGTTTGCAACCTGCGTGCTGTTTACTCAAAGTGATCATTTTGTCAGCAGCTGTATCAGCGGGGCGAGACGGAGTGAGAGGCGGCACATCCCCGCAAATAAAATCAACTCTTTCCCAAGCAACAGAAGAAGCCTTTTATCCCCGCGGATGCCTCGGTCCGTTCCATGATGTAATTCTCCAAATGGGGCAGGCAGGCAAGCGGGCAGGCAGGCAGGCAGGCAGACCCGGGTCTGAGTGATTGATTTCAGCCCAGCGCCGGGAGAACCTGGCTGCTTTCAGAGACAATTACAGTCCTGTCCATGTGCCCGTAATAGCCCAGCACTTTAGCGTCATTAAAGCGACGCGAGGCACTGCATTATCCTTTAACCCCATCGCTGGTCGTCCCTCTTCCCTCCCCGCACGGCCCCACCATTGACAATCCGGAGAGTTCAGCCGCATACTTTGTCACCTGAAGCTCCACGCCGAGCTTCAGAGGAGGATCTGTACAGTAGATAAAGTGGGGGGGAGGGGGATGATGGGGTGTTCGGGGTCCCTTGATGCTTCATGTAAATGATGCTTAAGCACCAGAGTGCACAGGTGAGCTGTTGAGACAATTGCTGCTAAAACGGGAACGTGAAGCTTGCAGCAGAGAGCTACACGGAGGTGTGCGAGGCCCACAGGTGCAAAAACACAGGGTGCAGGTTATTCTAAATGTTTAAATGCAGCAGCCATGCAACCGTTAGCGTGTGACGTGGAAAAATGTCCAATTTGACAAGAGCACTCTGAAAATTTCTAAAACAAAAAGCACCGTCCTAGCCGTCGGGATATTTGCATGTAAATTCTGCACAGCTCTACTTACTTCACTATTTTTTTCCCCCCCACTTTAACTCGCCCGGTTGCTTCTGCTGCAAAAACAAAAACTGCACATTTCTAAACTAGACGTGCACTAATCAGGCTTTCCTTGGCCGATTCCAGACAAGATTTTTTTTTTTTATTCTTTTCTACTGTAATAAAATAAAAAAAGGAGGAAATGTCCTTCAGGTTCTGTGAGGAATGTAACAGTTTTCAATTTATTAGAGAATGAAGGAATAACAAGATCAACCCTTCTCACGCATGGAAACATCTATCTGTGACATTTATCTGAAACTGGAAATTGTGCACCGCCTCGCCTGCTGCTGATTGATGCATTTACAGACGGAGAATAGGAGGAGTTATCAGTTTTAATGCATAGGGTCAACAAGTGAAATATTTCACTCGATTGGTGCTTCTCTGTTCCAAACAGAGACTCAAAGTGACTTTAACTGCTTTTATTTTACCGTTCCCGCCTCATTTGTGGGGAGGCTTTCCATCATATTTGCATTTCCAGCTCATCTCTGAATGCAAGAGGGAGCGATCAATACAGAATCAATCACAGTGACAGGTGAGAGGGTAAATTTGACCAGGCTCCACCGTCCTGGGAGACTTGAGCGATGCATCACAGACGAGGAGCAACAGGACAATAAAAAATGGCTTTTAATCCAGTATTGATCTGTGCTTAAATCAGTCAGTTTTCAAAAACAGATCAAGGTTATTTTGCTTTATTTGTTGCAATGCATTCATTTGTCCAAACTATTTTTGTTATTATTATTTATTATTATTATTATTATTATTATTATTATTATTATATCACACTCAATGATGTTTAATTGAAGTAGAATTATTTGCATCAATAAACAACAGCTTTTTGATCAACTCTTGCTTCATTGGGAGTGTAAAGTATTATTTTGTTGCTACCAAAAAGTAAGACAAAGTAATATGATAGAATTATGTTTTTTTTTCCCTCTATTTATTTACATTCAGCAAATTTTAATTATCCTAACTGAAACCTTAATCCCACAAATGTAATGACTTTATAGGACACCTATCCAAGTTATATTTCGGTCATTAAGAGATATATAAAAAAAAATAAAAATAAAAGGAGTTGCGCAAATCTAGAGGGAGAACTTGACATTTCAAAGGATTGCTAAATGTTTTAACATTTTCGACAAAGTGGTAGAGTTGGATCTGCAGTTCATTCAACGCACCACTGTTATCGATTTACTGGCTCAGCAGCAGACAGGCTGTATCCATCATGTCACAGCTTTCGCGTTGCACGTGTCAAAAACTTTCACTTAACTTTTTAACTGCCGAGGCGCACAGCGGTTCCTGCGATCGCACTTTTTTCTCACCCCCTCCACCTCCCCCACAAACCACCACCCGACATTTCAATTTTGACATGCATCCACGATAATACTCGAACCTTTCACGCGAAAACACAGGAATCATCTAATAGCAACATAAATACGCCGAATCCAGTTTTTTTTTTTTTTTTTTTTTTTTTTTTTTTTTTTTTTTATTGAGGAGAAAAAAAGACCGTCTTCTCCCCCCCACCACCCTCTCTCTCGCATGCATGCATGCCGCTGCGCCTTTACGCACGGCTCGCTTGCTGTTCGAGGAGCATCGCGCGCACAGCGGAGCCCCCCGCACTCACCTCGCGTTGGTGCAGTCGTTGTAGAGCGTCTCGAAGTCCTTCCTGGAGATGAGCTTGCAGCGGTTCACCCCGGGCTGGATGGCGCCGAGCCCCCGGAGGATGCGGACCTGCTCCACGTTGCACACGACCGGCGTGATCTCCAGCCGCTTCAGCTTGGTGTAGACCGTGTGCAGCCCGCCGACCAGGTGCTTCAGGAACAGGTCGAACGCCTGCGGGAGGCAGATGAGCTCGCAGCCGTCCACGGTGAACGATGCCACCTTGGCGCCGCGCAGCTCGACCATCTTGCACTCGTTGTTCTGCGGGATGCTCTCGACGGGCGACGGGGTCGAGTAGACGGGCTTGCTCGGGGGCAGCGCCGCGCTCGGGGTCGGGATGCCCGGGCTGCTGGTGGCGAGCAGCTCCGATCTGAACAGGTTCTGGCCGGGTCCCGTCGGCGGCACCAGAGACGGGGACGGGGACGAAGTTGTCGACGGCGGGGACGTGGTGGCGGAGGAAGTGGAGATCGGAGGCGGCGGGACGAGCGGAGTTGGTGGGATCAGAGCAGCCGGTACGGCCATGGTCACCTAACGAGAGGCAAAAAAACCGAGGGCGAGAAAAAAAAAAAAAAAAAAAAAAAAAAAAAAAGGAAAGCAGCCCGAAGTTCAAAGTAGAAAAGCCAGCCTGCCGAGAGAAAACCCTTAAATGAAAGAATCCTTCAGAGTTTTAGCTCCTCAGTTAAGTTGGGAAGTAGGAAAAAAAAAAAAAAAAAAAGAGCAAGAGCGAAAAAAGGCGTGCTGAGTGAATTTTTTCTCTCGTTTTTTTTTTTTTTTTTCCTGAGAGGGGGACAATGATCAAAGATAGGAGGAGGAATGACAGGAGGAAAATGAGCTGAAAAGTGCAGCACCGCTCTGTGGATGAGTTGTTGTTGTCACACGGTACAGAGAGGGAGGAGCTAGGGGACAGTGGGAGCCTTTGAAGAACATAAAACTAACTGTTCTCTCTGCTTTGCTGAAATGTTTCAGCTCTGCTTTAATAACTCATTAACAGAGTTTTTTTTTTAAATAGATCAGATGGAGATGTATTTTTTTTTCCAGCTCATTTCTTTGCAGCTGCAACAAAATAGTGGCTCCCCACTAAAAATTCTGCAAAGTTTTCTCAAATATAATATAAAGATTGAGAATGATATGACCTTTAAATTTTGTTCTTTTTTTTAATGTTTTTAAAAATTCATGATGTCATAGTTATCCTGTTTTCTGTCTGTCCTGAAGGAGTCACTGATAATGTTCCTCGTTTAATTAGCCTGGGCTTTTATTGTTCTGACAGCCATTGTGCTTTTTTTTCTGTCGAGAAGCAGCAAAACAAAGTGAAGAATCAACATAAAGATGTTTGTTTGTTTGTTTGTTTTTTGCACTAAATGTCAAAACTGTTCACACCCCATTGAAATACTTTTTTTCACTTTTTTCCACCTTTGCATGCTTTATACTATTCACTATATAAAAAAAAAAGACAAATCTGATCAGGGGAAGATGAGAAACGATAAGAACTGCAGCGATGTGACCTTGTTGCATGCCTCACACTCTTGAACTATATAAAAACATATTTTCATTTAATTTAACCAATCTGTCTTCTTAAGTTTGCACATGTCATCAATTTTTGTAAATCTGTCTAATCTGAAATAAAGTTCAGCTGTCCTACACTCGGACTTTTGATCATTTGCAGACTGTAATTAAAGCTTTAGTTATTATATTGTACTAAGGTATCAATATATTTTTTTAAAATCCTGCGTTTTATCTGAATGTGTGGCTCTGGTTAGAGATTTATCTGTCTTTGGAGAATCTATTGGACAAAAGTGACACTGCAATCAAAGTGTTTTCTATAAATTCATGAAAAAATGGAAACTTTAAGAGACTGCAGGAATGTCAAAACTCAATGCTAATGCTAAAAAAATAAATACATCACCAAAAGAACACCATACTCACAGTGAAACATGGTGGTGGCAGAATTATGACTTGGGGATTAAAGGTGAATGACATTATGAACAGATTTAAATTCTGAGCCTAAATCTTGAGGCGTAACCTCAAAAGCATAGGATTAAGAAGGATTTATGTTTTTTAGCCCCATACTGAGGCAAACCGTACATTAAAATGACAAAAATAATGACTAATTGAGCAGAAAATTTAACTTTTGAAATGGCCTAGTCAAAATCCAGAGAAAAATCTGTCTGATCAAATCTCCCGAAGAGGAATATGGACATCCTCACAATCTGATAGATTTGGACAACTTTAGCACGGTAGCGTGAACGTATACTAAAGATGTAAAATTAGACTCAAAGATCCCTTAACAAAGTACTAGTTAGTGTAACCTGATCGTTGCACTCGTTCCCCAAAAGACCTTGTAAGTTTTTTTCTGTTGCTTTGTGCAGAAAAAATTTCCCCCATCCAACAGTGGTGTGTGTGTGTGTGCGTGGGTGTGTGTGTCTGAGTGTGTGTGTGTGCACTTCAGAGATCTGCTTTGTATAAAATACAAGTAAGTTTTTTTGCATGATAGAAACATATCCTCAAGTGACTAATTGTGAGCTGATGCAAACATGAGATCACTAATTAAACATGGACTTCAAGGCTTCGTTTCCAGAAGATTGTTTCATTAAAGCGCCGCACTGAGCATGGAGCGGCAACGTTCCCCGTCACCTTCCGAAAGATTTAAACTCACATAATAAGAGTCGTAGTATAGTGGAGGAATTAAAGCTGAACAGATGGATTTATAAGAGGAGGAGACTTAACATTTTAAGAGACAGGAAACGCCAATTTGGTGTTTCAGGGGAATTTGAATCTCCTATCAAAAAAACATTTCTGTTATTAATCAACCCAATGAAGCTGAGTTTGGAACCAAACTTTGAAATCATAGAAGAGTATATAAAGATTTAGATAGGAAGACCAAGTGCCCCATAATGGTTCAGATCTCTATATAGTTAAAGGTATTGTAGCAGCTCTCAGTGTCACTTTGACAAACAGTTATCCCAGGCTTCATTTTCCAGAACTCTGTGTTTATAACGTCTATGAGTAAGACGCATCAGATGGGTATATACCCTGTCCGCCCCCGACTCTAATTACTCTCATTTTTTCACTTGCATTTAGTGAGTATATCTGTTTTCAAATACTTCAACTAACAGGTGTTTCATATCAGGCAGAGTGAGTTTGGTCCAGATAACGTTCTTGTTCTCCCTTTTCCCTGTGTCCAGAGAAACATTAAGATAAGCAGGGTGTCATTTAAAAAAATAAAATAAAAATTATCATTCAGAGAAGAGGGGAGCTTGTAGTGTAAAATCAATAGCTGCTTAAAATTCATTGCCAGGCAATCCGGTTGCCCTTTATGTTGCTAACCTTTCACTTAAATATGCACCATATTAAGATTTCATTATATACAATGAATGTCACAATGGTTTGCCCACTATTCCTCGTGTTTGCGTGGGTCAGTTGCAAATCTTTGCTCTTGTAAAGACCGAGAAATGACAGCTGCGGACAATTATGCGGCGCTTTAGCACCATAATAGGGATGAGAAGGCAACGTATATGTGATGTTTCAGATACAAAGGGCTTCAAGAATACTGAGTGGGCCGGAGACCACACATCGACTGCAACGCACAATCCCCTTGGCAAAACATGGTGGCGGCAGCATCATGCTGTGAAGATCGATCAGAGTCGACAGGAAAAGTAGGAGGAAAAACATGAAAGTAGGACATTATGTACATAGATGGTGATATGGGAAGAAAATTGTTTTTGTCCACTTTGCAATAATCTTCTACTTTGTGTCAGTTTATTAAGAACCTCAACGAAACATTCTGTGGTTTTAATGTATGAGAATTTGGAAAACTTTAAGGACAGCAACTAGGCCTGGCACGATAAACAATAAATCGATAAATAGCATAATAAATTAAAACGAGTTCAATAATTCTCATTTGCATGACTTATCGTTTTTCTCTTTCTACCAAAAACTGAACGATAAAAGTATTCAATCTGGTGTTTTGGTCTTCTGGAACAATTTGTCGTTCAGTAAAATCTGTTATGGTGACAGGCCTAAAAGCAACTAAATGCCTGAATCCAGGGTAAACACACCGTAACATAATACAGTTTATACACTGCTAGCACATTTTTCACCATCATCCTGTGCTGGTATAATTAAACCAAGCTATTGCTGCATGACAAAAAAAAAAAAAAATCTCACACAGGAACCTATATTGCAAACAGAACCAGCCTAGTGAGACAACTTTAACTATAAAGTTTAAAAAAAGCAGTTCACACAGTTTTTTTTTCTTTCTCCAGAAGTACAGTACATGTGGATGAGATTGCAGTAAACAAATGACCATGTCAGACTGTAATCACCCTGCGTGATGAATGAGCACCAGAAAAGTGTTTGAAAATGTATGGATATGGGACAGGACTTGTGTATGATCAATGACACAGTATATTGTTTGATGTAATAATTTATTCACCCCATAAAGCTTTGATAAAACAATGTTGAAAAGCAATTTAAATTGAATTCATTTAAATGTCAATTCTCATGGTTAGGATTTTTCTATAATTGGCTATTTAATTAAAATAATTTTCATAGTCATTAATACAGCCGGCAACTTGTAGCGCCCTGACGTGTTTTAATTACATGGTATTAACAAAATTGATATGCTTTAGAAAGCATGGTGAATAAGAAATAATTAGACCAATCATACATCATCCTCTTATGGACATTAAGTGTATCACAATATAATTGATGAACTTAAAAAACGAGGGAGATAAATAACTTTAATTGTGCCGAGTTGGTGTACAGAGCTTGGAACAAAGAATCCTACTCACGATGTATTATATTTCAGAGGCAATTCATTATCTGTACCATCACTTAGCTCTCGATGCCCAGCACTCTCCCCTAACCTATGATTACATGACATTTGAAAGCAGTGATACTAAGTAGTCTTTTAAATTGTCCTTTTACCTCGCCTGCATAAATCTTTCAAAAAAAAAAAAAAAAGGCCCTGCTCTGGATGGACAAAGAGAGAGCGGCGGAGATAAGAATCATTTAAATGCTCAGAATAAAGCCCTTATTGATCATGAATATTTGTTTGTCCAAGGTTATACCGCCGTGACCCTGTCTCTCCTCAGACAACGGCCAACACAAACATGCCACCTGGGTTGAAAGGGGAGATGACAGAAAGCACTCCGAAGGCGGAGGGAGGCAGTGGGGCGGTGGGAGGGGGGATTTTATCCCACACAACAGGTTTCTATTTGCAATCTTAAGTTACGGAGCATTTAGTAACTGAATCTGTCACCTTTTGTTGCCAGCAAAACAGGACAGGTTGAATCCGCTATTATTTTTGATCATTTTCAACAAAAAGTCTAACTTTGGTATTTATTTTGCTCTTGTTTCTGCCAGACCCTTTTTTTTATTTTTATTGACAACAACAAAGAATGTGTGACTTCACCGCAAAAGTAAGATCATATTTCAGCCATTAATATCTGCTAATTTTTATAACTATGTATTGCAGGTAATGAACTTCATTTTCTGAGAAAATTTTTAATTGTACGGCTATAAAATCAGGATGTTTAATACGGAGATGTTTATGGCCATGTTATGGACAAGATTGCTGACTTGACAGTCGTCTGGCAGACCGTCATTGACACCCTCCGCAGGCAGGAAAGGCCACAAAAGGTCACAGCTAAAGAAACCGTTCGCAAAGTGCCGGATCCAAACATAATAATTAGATCTGCATGATATTAGATTTCATGAAAATG